TCTAATTATATTTGTAAAATAGAAATTTTAATGATAAGATTTTAGGCATATAGCAAAACTCAGTTTCATATTTGACTAAACAACTAAGAATCTTGGTCACTAGAAACCTTGTTATCTATTTAATTGGAAATGTAGACAACTGATAAGAGAATCCTGAAAACTCCAGAATATCAAGATGGAAGTTTTCTGTGAAATCTGTCACTGGCATATTGGATTGCTTCTAGTTGAAAATTCAGAAATGTATCAGGTGACAGACCAAAAGTAACATAATGATAATTTGAACTGTTGGACACTTCATATTCAGAGCCTGGTGTATACTGTTGACATTTATATTTTTTAAATCTTCATCAGTATGATAAGAAAGGAATTATAGGCAAATTGCTGTCTTTAGATACTGATTTCTGACTCATAGAACATGTAAGGGAGATCCCTTAGTAAATTCCTGAGTGAAGCATCTCAACTGTATATTGTTATTTGCAGAGAATCAGTAGGAATTCTTTTACTGTAAAGATAACAAAATGCAGTTCTTTGTATAGCTTTAGGAGGTTAAAAAGATAAATTTTAAATTTGTTACTGTAAGGAAATAGGTTGACATGTCTGTTCCCAGATAAACCCACATTCCATGCTTTATATATTTAACAGGAAGGGTAGGTGGTTTAAGAATCAGTTTATTCTGTCAGCTTTTGAGTTAAGTGAGTACCATAAATCCAGAGAAAGAATTTAAAGAAGTAAATGTGAATGTTTGTGGATGTAGTCACCCCAAACTTCTGCAATATTATTATTATTTTAAAAGCTCTCTGGCATCCCTTTATGATCCTTGGTTGGACAACAAGGAATGATTCATATATCAATGTCAAGTTTAGCTATGCTTTTATTGTGAATAATCTGTACCCAATAGTCTTTAAGGAGACGTGGGGATATCATTTAATGTGACATTTGAATTTTCAGAATGTGACAATAGGAATGTCAGTGAAGAAGGATGTTAGTCCCTCTGTCTGGGGTATGAAGGCTAAGAACCATGCTACCCCCACCTGGAGTTAATTTAGCCCAGGGGATACTTTGAATAAGAACAGCAGACTTTAGCTAATAAAATACTGCCCTCATCACTATAAATAAAGGTTGTTCTGTAATATTATAAGAAACTCCTTTTTTTTCTGAGAATTTGAGAGGGGTGAGAAAATGGACATTTGATATCTATGAGCAGTGTTTCTTCCTTACATCCTTCAATTCAAGGTCTCCCCTACCCACATTGGTTTGTTTGTTTGTTTTTTTCCTAATTACAATATCTTCAAATGTATCTACTCCGTTTAATGATGGAGAACATTCCTTTTTGACAAAAATTATAAAGCCATATGTTTATTCTGAGTGTTATTCTATTATGTAATGAGGCATTTTTAAATAGAGTATAATGTCATATTTCTCACTAAGAGTATTAAGACAAATGAATAGAAAGCCAGGGTTTCATATGCATCAGGATTTTCTCATGAATGCTGTTATAAGAATCTGTTCAGGTGGGTGGTGGTGGTGGTGCACACCCTTAATCCTGGGCAGCAGAGGCAGGTGGATCCTCGAATTCTAGGCCAACCTGGTCTACAGAGTTACTTCTGGATAGCTAGGGCTATACAGAGAAACTCCATCTCAAACAAAACAAGAGAAAACAAAACAAATGGAAAAAGAAAGAAAGAATTTGTCTACAAATCTCCCAGTGAATTAATGATCCTTTTGTTGATAGGACTCAATATGGAGTCTAGTCTATATTTATATTACTTATAGGAATTATTCCTGACATAGATTCTCAAAGCTGTCTAGAATACACAGTTTTCTAAATACTTCTATTTCTTACATAATTGGAATCTTAGAGTTCTGAACAGGTTAACTAATAGACACAGATGTAGGAATGACTGTGGTTTAGGTGTCATTTCAACTTTCCCCAAACAGATATGCTAAATGCCTAGCTCCTAGAGTGACTGTACTGGGAAGTAGTGAATCATAGGAGCAGGTTCTTAGGTCCCTGGGGGCATGCTTCCTAAAGAGATTAGGATGACCAATTGGTAGCACTAGAGACAGATTTAATGAAAGGAGCAAATTTGTTGATGCTTGTTCCCTTCCTTTTCTTGTTTCGAGGCAATTTCTTTCAATTTGAAACATTACATCTTGGCTAGAGGCTCATTAGAATTTGGGGGAAGGGGAAAGAATAGCAAAACATATTGGATGACAAAATTTTTAAATTAAAAAAATCTTTTAAGGAGAAAAAAAAAGGTCAGGAACTAACCAAAACCTGCAAGGTTCAGGAAATAAACAACTTACAAGTTTCAGGAAATTCATAAAACTTACAGGATTCTCAGGGTTCCACAAACTTACATGAGCAGTAATGATTTATCAGAAAAGAGAATCTCTGGCCATCAAGGATGCCTGCAAGTAAGGCAGGGAGATACAGGGATGCAGAATCATCATCCATGATGGTGTTTGTGATACAACTGCTTCCAGGTCACACATGCTTCTGTAGATAACTTCTTACTCACACTCTTGTAAGCAATATGAATAAAATGATTAGCCCACCACCAAAACAGACAAGTGTAACTATTTCTTTGGTCTCTCATTGCTACCCTATATGGGACATTTATTCACATGTCCCCAAGAAAAAAAAATCACACAATTCTTCCTGTTTGAAATGTGGTTCATCACCTTTCCACTCATTTACACTTGCCATGATGTGATTCCATATGCTGTTAGGTCCTCACTAAAGGCCAACACAGTGTTTCCTGCTTGATCCTTGACTTTGACCATGCCAAACTGTGAACCAAACAAACATTGTTTTCTTAGTAAACAGCCTGTTTTAGATATTTCATTACAGCAATGAAAAGTATAAGATCTTTAAATTATAATGTCTAAAAGTATTCCTAATTCTTCCACAAGTTCTGACTAGTTTTGAGCAAAAACTTAATTACTGGTCCTTAATGCAGAGTGAGACTGCATTTTAAAATAGTTAACAAAATGCTCTCGTTATTCCCAGATCTCATCTCAATCCTCAGGAGAGCTCAAAGAATTGCTTAATCCGATGTCCTGAGACAAAGTCTTTTAATAAATTCGAACCCGGTTCGGATCTCAATCCATTCCCACTGCACAGGGCAGATTGCGATACTGCATCTAGGAGCTTAGGACATTTATGCACAAGCATGTTCTGGGGTTTTAGGGTTACATGACAAGGGAAATGATAAGGGAAGTAATTTTTTCAAACAGGATACCATCTGTTTAGGCAGTGGGCAGGTCACACAATTGGGGAGGGACGCTCTTTTGGCTTTTATGGTGCTTTCAGGGATGAGTGTTTTCACAAACCGGTCACAGCTGTCTGGGAATGCTTGATTGCCCCCAAATATGGCACTTTATCTCTTTTAAGGATGTGTGGTCTTTCACTTTTCCCAAAAACAGATGCCACCTGCACTGGGGAGTGCCTAGCCTCAGCATCAGAGAGGGTGCCAGCCTCGGAGACATTGGGGCTGAGAGTTGTGGCTGCTTATCTGTTCTCAGGCTTGCATTTGCCATACCTTGGAGGGATTTTCATTAGGGAGTGCTATTGGAATGGGGGTTGCCTAATTATGGTGTGGCTGTGCCTCCTTTGAAAGATTAGGCTGCAGGAAAGAGCAAGGAGGTGAGGGAACTTTTGTGAGCTTGAGGGAGTGCTTAGGGGAGGGGAAGGAGTGCTGGGGCTGGCTGCACTGGGGCTGGCTGCCCAGCCTCTTTACTCTCTCCATTTTAAGGGCATTTTAATTATTTGAAGATATTTTTCTCTTTAGACAATAGGTAGTACAGCTAGGTCTAAGGGTATGTGGCTGGCTTCTGGACTAAAAAAAGCTGACTAGATTGTAGTGACTCAGAGACAGTAAGGGCTGCAGAAATTTTACTGACAAAACAAGATAGACAGGGTGAATTATTCAAAATGTTTTGCTGACTGTACCAAAGTTTTTCTAAAGCATTTTGTTTTTTAACATTCAGATTCAGAAAGACTTCCTGAACTTAGCTTCAAAGGTCAGTTTAGAGGCTCCTATTGTCTCACACGTTCCCTGGATGTAAACTTTCCTTTATTGTGTGCCTGGAGCTACAACAAAAACTGATAGTCACTGGACTAGTGACAACCTCAGCCTACGCTGAGGTCCTAGTTCACCCTAAGCATCAGCTGTAGCCATGGGTGAGCTACTTCAGACCCACACATCATGTCTTCAGATGACTCCAGTCAGAATTTTCTGGACTCTGGTTACATAACCATCTAAGTCTGAGCATCCAGCTGAACTCAGTCAACACACACACACAATATAAGGCATGATAGTACATTGTTATGTTAGTGCAATGTTTGGAGCTAGCTCAAGAGTTACTCATAAAGCAAAACAAAACAACCCTTCAGTGTTATCAAGGATTAGCCAGTACTGCTAGACTTGCAATAAAATTCGAAAATAGCCCTAGATCACAGATGGTGGCATATTATCTCTACAGATCTCTCTTTCCAACCAGAATGGAGAAGAATGAGGACAGTTGCTACAGATTACATCTTTCAGAGTTTATGTAGACATGGGGATCAAAGGAAACCAGAAAACAACAAAAGCTATTTCTGTTTGGAGACTGCTTACATCACACTGTATAATAGAAGTTAGGGCTATCAGTTTTCCTTCCCACTTTCATTTCCTTCTTTCTAATTCCCAAGTTGCTTTCCTTTTGCTCTGAAACAGTGGGAGCTTATGTCATTTCCGTGACTTTGTCTGTGATATAAACATGCTGCTCAAACAAGAACTCATATGTAGAGACCAGGTAAGCAATGTCTGAGGACAGACTGGCTCCAGGCCAGTTGTTCCTCAAAAGTTGGATGCACTTCCTTAGTCATCTTGTCCTTCTGCTTAATGATCAGTAATCAGCTGGTCTCTTATTCGCAAAGGGTTTACTTATATACTCTTATAAGACACAGAACAACACTTAAGTATTTAAGTGTTTTACAACTGTTTTGTTCGCAGGTATTCCCAGGTTGATTACGGCTGACATGGTCAGAGAAGGTGCAGCAGTAATTGATGTGGGTATCAACTATGTACAAGATCCTGTGATGGGAAAGACCAAGTTAGTTGGAGATGTGGACTTTGAAGGTAAGAATCCAAACTTCTTGATAAGTGGAGGGGGAAGCTGGATTCTGACCTTCATGCTTTGAGGAAGAAACTGTCCCTGCTCTGAGGACAGTATTGTTACTCACCGCCGCTCTGTGTGAAGGAAGACAACCACACTCACCTAATTTTTCCTTTCTCTGCTCACCTTCACTCTCTTCCCTTCCATGCTTTCAGCCTTCTAGATGTGACGTTCACTTTTCTGCATGTCTCTTCTCTGAGATTGAACCTAAGGCTTCCACATGCTAGGCAAGCACTCTACCACTCTACCAATGAGCTCTGATTTTTGACAGAGAGAGACAGAGACAGAGACAGAGAGAGACAGAGATAGAGATAGAGAGAAAGAGGCAGAGACAAAGACAGGACACAGAGGACGACGACACACACACACCCACACACATACAGAGAGAGAGAGAGAGAGAGAGAGAGAGAGACAGAGACAGAGACAGAGACAGAGAAAGACAAGACACAGAAGAAGACAGAGAGAGAGAGAGACAGAGAGATAGAGACAGAAAGACAGAGAGAGACAGAGACAGAAAGACAGGACACAGAGAAAGACAAAAGACAGAGAGAAAGAGACACACACACACACACAGAGAGAGAGAGAGAGAGAGAGAGAGAGAGAGAGAGAGAGAGAGAGAGATCTCAATAGGTTTCCCAGGCTGGCCTAGAATTTGAGCTCCTTCGCCTTCTGCTTCCCACACAGCTGAGATTACAGAACTGTGATGCGAAGCTTGGCAATATTTGTTAGTGAGATTAAATATCTTCTTGTATATTTTTAAGGAAGCAATAAATCTAACTGGTTGTAGACTTATAGACCTATGTTTTCTTTTTGAATTAATTTTTATTACCTGTGTTCATGTAGAGATGGGAAGCACTCATGTGTATGGATGTCAGAGGATGGCCTGGGGGGATTGGTTCACTTCTCCCACCACTCAGATCCCTGGAATCAGTGTTGGTCACCAGTCTTGGTAACAAGCAGCTTTACCTATTTAGCCCTTTGGTCACTCCTATTGTGGTTTTTATGACAGTCAGTTTACATTATACTTAGACATTTGTGCTTTGTATTCAGCCATTCACTCTTTTAAAATCGTTTTTATGAATGTCATACAATTGGTGCATTTACACCATTTTCACCCCTTTCTTTTACCCTCCAACTTCTCCTGTGTCCCCAATTCAAGTTCACAATCTGTTCTTCTACATTTATTATTGTTATATATATATATATATATATATATATATATATATATAGAGAGAGAGAGAGAGAGAGAGAGAGAGAGAGAGAGAGAGAGGGAGAGAGGGAGAGAGAGAGATGCACATGTACATATGTGTGCACATATGCATGCCCACATGTATATGTAACCTACTGAACCCATTTAGTGATGTTTCTAATGTGTATATGTTTAGGGCTGGCTGCTTGAGATTGTATAATCTATCAGTGAGATGATCCCTATAGAAGACTGATTCTCCATCTCTGAATATCCATTTATTGCCTGTAGCTCTTCATCAAGGAGTAGGGCCTTATGAAATTTCCCCTATCCAAGCTGACATGTTGACTGGTATCATTTATACAGATTCTGTTTAAGCAATCATGTTGTTGAGATTTCATGAGTACAAAACATTGTCTAACACTAGCGATCCTGGTACTCTAGCCCTTACAGGCTTCCCACTCCCTTTCCCAAGCCTTTGGGGTAGCTGTTGTACTATATGTGTACCAACCGTGGAGGCAGAATATAATTAGAAATTATATTGGTTTAGGAAAATGACAGTAGTAAGTTATTTTCTAGGGTCTATGACCTCTCCAGCCACATATAGTTGGCTAGTTGTATAGAACCAGACATGAACTCCATCCTAGTTAATGGACTCTAAATTCATACAGTTGTTGATTATCCCCAAGATATAAGTGCCACTGCTGCACTATTGAGGTCAGACAATTGGTAGACAGATAGTTGTTGTGGTTCCTTGGCTTTATAGGTGGCCAGGATTATTTTTTTCCCTCTTGCTATCTTGCATAGTACCTTTGGATACGATGAGAGTTAGTATTTATTGGGAAGGCTTCCACTTTTGTTCCAGGTGGATCCCTCTAAAGTCCTGTCTCTTAAGTGTGTGTGTCTTAAGCAATAGGTCCTACTTTGCAGTTCTAAGAGGCAGCCAAGGGTACTGGCAATAGCCCATATGCTTTTGGGGGTCTCTTAGACCTCCCTGACCAACAATTAAAAGAATAAACAATGTGATTTTAAAGTTTGGATTTCTTTTTCTTTTTTTTTCTTTATGTGTATGAGTGCTTTGCCTGCATGTATGTCTGTGCATCACATGCTTGCCTAGAGCACAAGGAAGCTAGTTCCAAAGCAGTCAGATCCCTGGGTACTAGAGTTATAGACAGTTGTAAGTCTCTTGGTGGGTGCTAGAACTTGAACCTGGGTCCTTTGAAAGAATAGCCAGGCTTTTAACAACAGAGTCAGCTGTCCAGCCACTAAAAACTTATATTTTAAACTTTTACGTGAAACTTGGTCACCAGTTGATCATTTATACAATTTTAAATGATGTTTAACAAAATTTAAAATGAGACATTTGCAAATGTCCTATGGCACAGGCCTCACACATGTAAGGTTCTGGAGTGTGATAGGGACTAGATCCAGATTAAGCAGTTTACGCCCAGTCATTATGGTAAGGAAAGCAGACAGTCAAATGTATGCAATCATATGTTCTAGGTGGAGCAGTGAATGTGAACAAGCACAGATGCGCCCTGTGGAAGGATACCCAGCTGCCCTCGGGCTCCAGTTGCTAGGAGCCCCAGTATTGTTTAAGGTTTAGTATGGCAGTACTGATTCTCTACATAAACATGTCTACATCTTTACATTTGTGTGTGCTATGCTGGGTGAACATGTTGAAATGTTTATGAGAGGATATCTAGAATACCAGCAGCCCAGGAACTAACCCCAGTATCAACAGTCGGAGCTACATGAAAACAAATTCCTGTACATCAAAGAAAACAATCAGCAGAGTAAATAGACAACCCTCAAAATGAGAGAAAAATCCTTGCTGGCTGTACTTCAGACAAAGGGCTAATATTTAAAATTTATAAAATATTGCAGGAATTAATTGCCAAGCTAATAAAATTGTCAATTAAAAAATAGGCAAGTGAACTAAATAGACAATTTCTAAAAAAGAAATACAAATGGCCAATAACTGTCTTTAAAAGTGTTCAGTATCCTTAGCCATTAAGAAAATATATATTAAAACTGTATTGAACTACCAGTCAGGATGGCCACCATCAACAAATCTGACAACAAATGTTGGAAAAGATGTGGAGAGAAAAGAATCCTTATTCACTGTTGTTGGGTATGCAGATCAATACAGCCATTGTGGAAATCAGTTTGGAGGTTTCTCAAGAAATTTTAACTAGGACTCCTGTATTACTCCACTGGTTCCTCCTGGGCAAGGTGAGCCAGAGAACCCCGCACCCAACATGGAGATCCTGTTCTCACGTGTTTTTTGCTGCTTCATTTGCTTTAGCAAAGGATTGAATAAACCTAGTTGTTGTCCATAAGTGGATGAATGGATAACTAAATGATGATGACGATACACACACACACACACACACACACACACACACACACACACACTACTCAGGACTAAAGAAAAATGAAGTTAAAAAATTTGCAGGAAAAAGGATGAACTGAGAATATTACATGAGGCAACACATCTCAGAAATATGAGCACACATTCTATCTCATAGGCAGAATCTACCCGATAAGATACACACGCATAAACACATGTGTACATGAGTATAACATACCATAAGGGGAGAGGAAGAAAGGCTGAGTATAAGGGGGGAGAAGGCTTGAGTGCAGGTGATCAGCACGGCCAAGACTGAGGATGCACAGATGACTCTTCTACTTCTAACTCTTCTGTGGAACTTTCGTTCTCAGTGGTAGATAAGTTCATAAAGTTATTCGATACTAAAAGTGTAAAATGTAACGTGAAGCTCCCCATTCCAAATGCCCACTCTAACTTTACAGAAGTTCATTAAGTTGTACAGATTTTAGTTATGGCTAATCTTGGAGTGTGATGCTTTCATTTACACACAAATTTTTATGATAAAGCTTATAAAATTTTTAAGAAGACGGGGTTTCTTTATCATGCCAACTCCAGACAGGTTTTGATAATGCACTGGAGTTTCTCAACTCAAATGGATCTACAAGATGTGTTTGGTTTCAAACTTGGGTTTTCCTTTTTTCTCACTCTTGTTCTGTTCCTTGACTTCACATAGTAACTCTGTGTTTATGGCAAATGTCTCACACCTAGGATGCCTGCAGGAGATAGTCAGATGAGGAGCAGAGGGGGCTGCAGTCCATAGCCTCCACTTCTGACTTCTTTCCAGGGCAGGCCTACCCAACGAAATGCTCCCCCCGGGGGATATTCTTTGTTCTCAGGACATGTACAGGCTTTCTTATTTTTAAATGAGTCAAGCTTTTGCTTAGGAAGATCGTCTGAAAAAATTTGAAAACAAGCATCTGTGAGAGCTGTTTCTGCTTTACTTGACTTGGCAGCACCTGTTTAATGAAGCTGCAGGGCCATGTATTTAAATAGATGATGGCGTAAAGAAGGGGATCTTCAAAACCAACGCAAGAGGAAAGGCTGGAGTGTTGGGCTGAGAACTGCTGAGGTTGTTTGAGATACAGTGCTATCACCTAAGAGCTCTGTATCCTCTCTGTCTGCCAGTTCAGCAGTGATTACAGCCATCTCCTCTGTCTCAGGACTCTGCTTCTGTAGCACAGTAGATCAGGAAAACGCCATGGTATCATCTCATTTCATACAATAAGATGCTGTGGGTTTGGGGTTCTGTTCATTTGTTTTTATGAGATAGTGTCTTACTATGTAGCCTTGGCAGGTCTGGAACTCCTTAATTAGACCAGCCTGGCTTTAAAATCACAGAAATGAGCCTGACTCTGCCTCCCAAGTGATAGAATTAAAGGCATGCA